CTCAAACTTCCCGTGAAAATGGGATTGTAGTTGCTTCTCTCCATTCAATCCTCGGAGAGGAATCAGACGATTGATTGAACGCTTCCTTTTTCCAGATTGCCATGTTCCGAGTCATTGTCAAGCGTGCGTCGTGGCGCGGCAATCACCACATCTCGTGACTCCAACGTGACTCTCACTTGATTCGCTTGACTCGATTTCTGCTCTACTAGTACCGGTAAGCTCTACCATCACTTGGGCCCTCAGTCCTCGAACATGTTGGATGTGGCCCAACACTATGGCGGTCGGAATGCACTTTTACAGGAGTTCCTGAAAATAATGGCAAACACATTTCTTTTTTTTTGAGCTTCCTGAAAAGGAAATTCTTGTGTATGCCTTTCATTTGCCTCTTTGCAGTCTTATCTCTCGGGTCAATTACTCCAAGTTGTGTATCTGCAGGCTTCCTGGGACACAGAGACCTCCTGTTTGACCTTTGACCAGAGTGTTGCACATTTCTTGAGGACAGCAGACTGTGGGTGTTACAAGGCCCGATATGACACTGTTGGATTAGAATATCGCACAGAACAGATGGCAATACACCGGAACCACTTTCAGAACCTTCGGCATGGGTGAGAGACAGAGAAAGGAAAGGAATACACAAGAATTTCCTTTTTGAGAATCATAAAAATAAAAATTGTGTTTGCCATTATTTTCAGGAACTCCTGTAATAAAATTGTTATAAACTCTGAGTTTCGATCGCAAAATGTGGAAATTTCACTTACAAAGTTGGAAAAACACAACTTTATTCAGTTCGGGCGGGAAAGCCTCTGTTCATTCAACAACATCGAGACTGTGTATTTTAACTTCGGAGCTCGAACTTTGTATATACTTTCTGTCCAAGAAACTTTGTATAAGATGTCTGAAAAACCAAAATTGTATAAAGTTGAGCCGAGGTTCAGGTGTATAAAGTCTTTGGGAAGAATTGTGCATAGTCGCCGTGAAGACTTTGTAATAAGTGAGCCCGGCGGTATCACCGATGGGAGAGTGATGGCATCACGGGCCGGATAAGGACATGTTTTGGGGTCATTAGCACCACCGTGGATGGGATTCAGATCAGTAATGCTACCCTCTCCAGCTCCCGGATTCGACTCCCGGAGGAATTCAAATCGATAGACGGAGGGAAGGGTTTGATGCCGAATGCGCCGAATTGATCCGTACTCTGCCAGCACCGCCACCCATCAGCGATACTGCCACACAAACTTTATACGAAGTCTTCACCACCGACTTTATACAATTCTACGGCACTCAACTTTACACAAACTTTGGTTTTCAGACATTTTATACAAACTTTCTCGAACAGAAAGTTTACACAACTTTTGAGACCCGTGGACTTTTAGCTAACTGAAGCTTCTCACTCTCAAAGTGAATGAAGTTGTGTTTGCTCAACATTGTAAGTGCAATTTCGACATTTTACGATGAAAACATACATTTTATAGTGATTTGATTAAAAGTGCATTCTGACCGCCATACAACACCTCGTCAACACGTTGATCCCGCCAGAACTGCTGTGCTACATCTTCACCCTTTCCTTAGCTACGCGGACTCCCACCTCACCAATCGTCCCTGTAGTTGGTCGTAACGGCTGGCGGGACCCGTGGAATCCGGCGTGGATACTCGGCGGACCGTGGATCTTTGGCCAAGTCTGCTCCTACTGGCGCCAATTGGCTGAGTCGTTGCCTACTTTATGGGTTGGGATCAATATCTCGACTGTCCTGTCGACACGCCAGGCCACCCTCCTTCACACGCAGCTCGCGCGCACGGCAAACGCCCCCTTGAATTTACTCATCCGTTTCACCTCTGGCCAGCGCTCTCACCGTGAGACGCCCTTCGGCCGCTTCCTTGCCACGCTCGTGCTGCACAGCGCCCGCTGGCGCACGCTCCACATGGAGTTTGACGACGCCTGTGGACCGCATCCAGCCTTTGGCGCTCTGCACCGAGATTCACTTCCTCTCCTCGAAGAGTTGGTGTTCACCGGCCGGGGCGTACCATATCTCAGAAAATACGACTTCTTCCGTGATGCGCCGAGACTGCGTCGTGTAGTCCTTGGAGATTGCGGCGTATCGACCGTAGCGAATGTTCCCCTGCCATATGGGCAACTCGCCACCTACAAGGCCATATATCCCGACGTCACCACGCGCCTCCGTGTGCTGTCCGCTGCCTCAAATCTTGTGGAGTGCGATATGGAATTTGGGCCACTTGGTCCCACCCCCTACAGCGCGTTGGCCACAAAGACTGTCGTGACACTTCCTTGCCTCCGACGCCTCGCTATCTCTCATTCGGAATTTCTGGATTTCCTCGTTGCGCCGGTGCTGGATGCACTCCATGTCTGCCGCTCGGTCGAGCATGTTCTTCCGTTCTTGCATCGGTCCGGGCGTACTGCATCACTCGCCGAGCTCACTCTTGCGGAGTGCAGTGCCCATTCGCCAGACGTTCTTGCGATCCTGCAGCAGACGCGCGGACTCACCGCCCTTGCGATGGATCTGCACACCCCACCGTCGGATATCGTCGCCGCCCTCGCGCGCACCGGCCCAGAACGCATGTGCCACCGTCTTGGGTCGCTGTGGTGGGCGGATTTCGACGACTTGCTGGATCGCGACGCCTTCGTCGACATGGTGGCGTCGCGGTGTAGGGGATCCATCTATTCTGAATCACAGAGTAAGTCTTCCCTCGACGGGGGTGTGCGCCCGTTGTACCTTGTCGCGGTCTATCGGGGTCGACTGCGCATGAAGGGCGCTGGAATGCGGTTACGAGCGCTACCGGCTCTCGAGGTGGTGCTTATGAACGCAAAGACAGGGAAGCCTGCGGTTGCGGATTGGAGAGGCTATTGGTAGAGGTACGAGTACGCGCGTATCTTTCTCCGTCCGAAGTGTCAGGAAGGCTGATCTCTCTGCGCGCAGGTATCTTTGGTTTGTAAATTGTTCGGAGGAGAATGCATTTCTCATGCGTGGGGACTGTGGTAGGGAGAACTAGAGTAAGTTCAGACTGTTCTGCGGATCTTGTTCGTTAAGAGTCGAGCAACATCTTTTGAGTGCGGAATGTGGCCCTGGAGGCCTGCCAGCGGGAACTGCCCTTCTAATCAGGTGTTATGGTTATGCTCTCCATCTTACTGAAATCGTACTGCTGTGGACTGACTCACTTTCGGATAAAATCTATCCCACCGCCTTCACACCCTACGAATCGGACCTGCACCAACCCAAGGCACTTCAATGTTCGTTTTTTTCCTGGTGAGCGTCACCTGTATTGCGTGCGTCGGCCTTATCGGCAGACTGCTCAGCGTTGAGCATAAAAACTTCAGGCAAGAGGCACCACGCTGTGGTGTGCCTGGCGGCTCTCATGGGATGTGAGAGCCGGTTTGTAGTTGTTAGGTTCAGAAGCTTGTAGTCGGCAATCACATTGGGTTTTCCTTCCTGCTTCCACCCTCCCGCTGCGAGCCCCGCTGGTTCATCCCCCCTGAGAGGCCGTAGGCTCTCTCCATTTGGTGATTGGAGTGCGATTCGCCCTTCCCACGCGTCCTTTGGCCCAGATAGGCTTCGCGCGATCCGAGAGCAGCGTCTCTCCCCCTTGTCTCGACTTTTCTCGCATCTGCTGCTAGCAGATTTCCCGCCGCTTTTTTCCCTGACTCTTTCGACCTACCCCCCATCCACCCATCGACTCGTTCGCTTTACCCGGCACGGCACTCGCATCGACCGCGTTTTTAACGCACATTCCCGCACATCGCCCACTTTTCCGTGACGTGTCAATTGTGACATGCCGAAACCTTGGGCACGAGAGAGGACAAAGAGAAGGAAAGCAGAGGCAGCACTACGAGCTGAGGAGAAACAGTCACATCCACCGCTCGTAAGCAATCCCAGTCCATCAGTCAATTACCCCGTCCTCGCGCTCTCAATCGAGAAAGCCTGGCAGCACCAGTTCCGTGGTATTCGCCATCCGCACGGCATCGTCTTGAACCCCCATGGCTATATCCACCAACAGCCTCTCGGCGCTGCTCTTCCAGTTGACGTGGCCGCGCAACCACTTCCGCGAGACTTTTCCGCTCTCTGCAGCGAGTTTCCGCACCCGTGGCGTACTGTACGTCGGCGCAATCTTCGCCTGCTATCACAGCATCGCGAACACCGACCATTCCCAAAATCCCTGCCCAAACGGCCAGTCATCTCCGCCCCCCGAGCGGCTGTCCTTGCCCTCCGGGATTCGCTGCCAATGTCCGTCCCTACACTCCCCACACTTCCCTTGGAGGCTGGTCGATCGGCTCAGCCTGCACATCTCCTCGGGCTCATGCCCCTTCATCCTGAGGATCCCATCCATCCCGACGACGTCGCTTCGCTGGCGATGCCTGCTCCATCGCTCTGCCCGTGCCCTGCCGACCATCTTGTTGGGCTTCCCGTATCACTTCCCCTGGTACTTCCACCAGCTCCTTCACCATCTTCTGTGCCTGCATGTACACTCCCAGCTCTGACCGTGTATGGGCCAGTGCAAACCAGATTTGCCTACGCATGCGCTCGTGAACTCCCCGGACGGGTCGTGACTTTGGAACAGGTTTTTGGCCTGATCTGGGGGCCATTGGCAAACAAGGAGCACACGGATCTCCTGGTGAAGCTTCCACCGGATCGGCTTGTCTTTCTCTGCACACTGGCGGCAATCGCGGCCATGGAACCCGTTTTCGAAGGCTTCCTACATCCTGTGATACGGGATTTCGCGTGGAAGTGGGTGATCCACTGTCAGCGAGAAGCATTTGGTTAGTTGGATGGCGCGGGGTCGCGCCCGTCCCTCGCTGTGCTTGGACATTTTTTGGAGGGGGGTGACTGTGGTGTGCCTGGCGGCTCTCATGGGATGTGAGAGCCGGTTTGTAGTTGTTAGGTTCAGAAGCTTGTAGTCGGCAATCACATTGGGTTTTCCTTCCTGCTTCCACCCTCCCGCTGCGAGCCCCGCTGGTTCATCCCCCCTGAGAGGCCGTAGGCTCTCTCCAACGCCTCTAGAGGGTATCGAACCCTCGTCTCCTCAATCAATCAATATATAGAGCTTGAGTCTCCAAGACCAGATATTCGAGGCGACTTCCCTAGTCCACAGAGGCTGCTGGCCTATAGCGTTAGCGCTGAGAGGATTTCTTGTGCCCGTCCAGCTCGGGTCAATTTGGCTAGAATACTATCTTGTTGAGGTCAAGATCCGGATTCCTCTGAATCTTACGCAACTGAATCGTACGCAATATATCCCGCGCCCCGAAAGAGCAAGACAAATCCATTTGAACACTGAACGGCCCCGGAGAAAAAGTACGGTCGATATCGCATATGGCCCCAGGGATTCGAACCCGCTCCCCGCTCCTCCTCAAGAGTCAACATGTTGTTCTCTTCCGTTAACGTAGGTGAGGCGACATCCATTGTCCACAGAAGTCGGTTTTCTATCACAATCCCGTGCATGACATAGTCTCTCGCAGCCAGACGCTCTAACATTGGGAAGCTCGTACCTCGCTTGTTAGAGTCTGTTGGTTACCGAGGGGCTCGGATCGCGTTGCGGTGTTGTTTAGTAAGCTTACGTAAAAGTATTTCCCACCAATTTGCCGTTTGCCCTTCTGCCACTTTCTCTCGCTGCATCCAGCTCGTACCGCCTCACATAATCCCAGAATTCAGCCTGAACCTTTCAACCTTCAATACTCCCCGTCCTGACCCGCCGGCTGGCTGCACAAGCCGATACTGGACCCGGTCGCTGGGGTTTCGTCCTGCGAGCTCCGATTCAAGTCTACCTGCAGTCCCTTGACGCTGTATCGCTTGCTTTCCCATCCTGCCATACAGAAAAACCTTGGTAGCTTAATATCTCGACCCTTCTTGTCGACAAAGCCGGCCGTCGAGTCATAGCTGCTCTGTGCAATCGTTGTGCATCCTCGTGCGCGCGCAACCTGTAATCGCGAAGTCCAGTAGAGGTATCGCTCGGCGTGGAAGTGCAGTCAGTTACTGGGTATGGAGGTACGCCGAAAAAAAAGCATTCCGTCCGTCTGTTTGGTCACCGCCGACGGTTTTTCAGTTCAGGATACCGATTGACTGTCGTACATGGCGGAGGCACTGTATTCATCACTCGCGCACGACGTGGGCCGGCGCCGCGGCTATGTCCTCGCTGTCGCGACGTCCACGACTGACCGCACGCCGCCGCTGCCGCTGCTGCCGTCAAATCCAGCCCACGGACTTCAACGACGCATGCTCGAAAGCTGCGACGTCTGTGGTGCGTCGCCTCCGTTCTCCCCGTCTCCCTCCTGTACCCGTGCCTTGCTCCTCGTCCTCCCTCGTCCTCGCCTCATTGCGCCTCTTCCCTCGCCCTTCCCCTCCAGGCTTCGCGCCTCCCTGTACCTTGTGGATCGCCGTCCAGATGAAAGGGCATCGCAACGTCGCACAAGGCCGGCTGCTGCTAAATTCTGCGCCCCGTGCGAGATACGCTAAGCTTGCTGGCACTGCTGCACCGCGCTCGGACGGCGGGACTCTCTCTGCATGCGGGGATGTCCACCCGGGCCTGTATTTGTATCCTTCACGTACAGATCTAATGTAATAGATTTAATGAACTGACTTCGAAACACACTACAAAATGACAGTTGGACTGACCTTGATCAGGAGCTAGCCTCGAATTCTCTAAACGTAGTTGGAGCCAAGTGCCCCGTACAGAAAATTATGGGAGAACCTGCGGAAGTTGCGGGGCCAGACGCGATAATTTTGAGCGCACAATTACTGACGTGACCGTTGCAAACGGCTCCTGATTAAGTAAACACAAACTGCCCAGAAAAAACAACCCGAAATTCAGAGACGTGCTTGTGCAATATGCGATGGTACTAGTCTCCGCCAATGTGCCACAAAGGGCTGAGCAAACGCAGAACAGCGTGCTGAAGGGAATCCGCTATTTGCCGTGATGGTACTTTTACATAAGCTTACTAAACAATGCCGCAACGCGATCCGACCCCCCGGGTAAACACAAGACTATGCATGACAAGCGCTCGCACTTTCCGGCTTGGTAAAACGTTCTAGGCATCCGGTTTAAATTTGCGCCGGCCCGGGGCATCTCGATTGATGGAAGCCGAGCAAGCAGCATACGAGTGGAGGCATCGCTGGGCCTGAAGCCTCAAGAAGAATTGAGCCATAAAATTCGCAACGCGGATGAGAAAAAACGTATCGGGCTCTGGTGTCCTCAATATTGCGGTATGAATACGATGAATGGAGGTTGTGGCGACACCGTGACTTCCATAGGCTACGGCCCTCTACTTGTCTCCCCTGTCCGGCGCCAACTCGATCTCGTTGATCACGATGGGCAGTTGGTCGTATCATCATGATGTGTGCACTTGAATATCGCGTCTCTCCAAGTGTCCAAGTGTGCAGGGAATATCAATATTGAATCGCCCCAGGCCTCAAATTTCAAACGCTGGTACTCCGCAAATTAAAAGCTCAGAGCGTTGATTCATCGTCTGTCATATTCTTAGTGATGAATGCAAAACAAGGGGGAGACCAAGGGGAGACTCGGAAATTCGCAGAAGATGGAGAAAGAAATTGCGGAAATACCGATGATCCAGGCATGCCTACGGAGGGATACGAACCCCCGTTCCCACATGAACTTGTCTCTGCGTCAACGCGTTCAGGCACCAGACAACGTAGGCTCGCCTTGGGTGAGTCCCTCTCACGATCATTGGGTCAAACCCAGGTAAAGACACGGAATAAAAAACAACCGTCTCCCCGAACAGAGCCTCCGCTGCGAAAACGGCGAAGGGAAGTGTGATAGTTTATACTTATACCGTTCGAGCACATAACCACTTGGGAGCGTGATAGAAGTTAGCATGCTAACCCTGCTACCTGAGATGCACACACGACGAAAACTCTCGCCAGTGGGCTGAATCATCATCCAATTGCGCACTGCGCAGAGGCAACTTGATCGGTATGGACAGAAGGCGTATTGGGAAGCGGACGGTACGGGAGAAGTAAAAGATGTACTGGCTGAATCAGTGGTACTCGGACCCTCCTCGCCCGCGTCAAAGCCTGCTTCGCTACTATATCAAATGACGCAGGGGTCATACCACTTGACCACGCACACCAAAAAAAAGGGAAATTTCAGCTCAGGTGAACACCCCGTCGAAACCACTGGTTTAGGCTGCAAAATAAACCCAGCTGAACACGCAAGCGAAACTATTGCATTCGGCTGCCGTTTCAGCCGTGCACAAATCGATCCCGACTCCTATCTCGTCGTTGACCGCGACCGGATCAATGACAGCGCTGATGCGATCTCTTCCGCGTGCATCCCTTGCTCCCTCCCACCCAACTCCCACCTCCATCGTTCTCGCTCTAACCGCTGAGCTGCTCTCGCTGTCTCTGGCGAATGCATTCCGGGACCGCCGCGCAAGGAAAGGCGAACTTCCTGATTGACGGTTGAATGGATGCGGAAACGGGCGCGGCGCACTGGCAGGCGGCAGAGCACGTTTGTCGCGACCTTGAAGCGCAAGCGTTATCGTTTGTGTTATCACCTGGCCAACTGGCATGATTTCAACTTTGCTCAATGGTACATTCGAAATAGAAGACACGCGGAAGCGCGAAGACCGACTTGTCCGCGTGGAAGACGCGCGTCGCGTCGAGAGCGTAATATCTGGCGCTGGTCAGTCCGGGCGTGCTTGATCCGTCCGCAAGTATGTCGTCCAATCTTGGCTGTGTTGCTGAACAGTGAAACTAGCTTGTATTCGTATAGACTTGTTGGACCGATCACTCACCGCCTCGACACCGCCCCACGCTTTCGTATTGCGGCGCTGCAAACAGTCTCCGCACTCCCTCCATTCCAAAAACCTTGCCCCATTTACGCTCCGTTCCTGCTTAAGCCCACATCATACGCCTCCGCCGCTGCAAATCCCCTAGTGCGTCTCCTAAGTAAGCGCACGTTCGCTCAACCCCCTCGGACCGACCCACCGGAAACGCGCACGGCCCCCTGCCCCTTAGTCAACGCTGACTTTACCTTTCTCAATCAACGCTTCTGCGTGATAGAGTTAATGAATGCTGCCAAACGAACGTGGGCTTCATCGGACCATTTATTAACTCACTCCCAGTTACCCGGCGCGTCTGCGCATCTGTCTCCGCTCTCTCCCTGCGCCTGCGCGCTGCAGCGATGAACACCACCGCCACCTCCTCCTTTTACTCGTCCCTGCCATTCAATTTCGCGCGGGACCGTCTCCGGGCTCTGGACATGGAAATAGACTTATCGACGACCCCGATCTTCTTCCCCGCCCTCCTCACGCTGTGTGCCGCCTACCCCGCCTTCGCCCCGCACTTCTCCGCCGAACGCCAACGCGCCTGGATCCTCACCACCCTCGCCAGCAGCCTCATGACACTCGCCTCCCTCCCCTTCGTCTTTGACTACTTCTCGCACGGCGGAATCGCGAGTATCCAAGCGCGTGCGGGGTTGGCTGAGGCGGTGAACCGCTTCTTCCAGGCGTATTTGGTGGGGGACATGCTGCTGGGCGCGCTGTGCTACCGCGCGCAGATCAACTTCTTGACGGGGTGGGTGCACCATGTGGTGTATGTGGGGATTACGGAGCTGGCGGTGAGGAGGGGGTGGGCGCATGTGTTTTGTTTGTGTGCGGTTATGGAGGTGCGTTCGGTTTCTCTTCAATGTTGCCTTTATCGTTTCCCCATTTCGTTGTTCCCTTCCTTGTGCTTGATCATTCTTTGCTAGTACTACCCCGACATTCGCGATGCTTTTTCTCCTCACCGTACTCCGCTTCATTCGCGACGTCGCTCTCTTTCCTCCCATTCTCTCTTCCTTACTCCCATATTTTATCCCTTACCTCCTCCCGTCGTTCCTCCCTCTCCCTCCTTCCCTTTCCATCTTCCCTTCCCTGGCCCCGGGGTTCTCTGCTTCCGTCATCTATTTCATGCCCTCCCCGCCCTTCTTCTATTTCCATTTCCCTTCCCCTTCCCATCCGCCCGGCGTCCCTCACACTCCTCCCTCCCTCCTCACTAAGTTTTCTCCCTATCCAGCTTTCACATCCGCGAATCGCCGTCTATATTCCCGCCTTCCACGCTGCATCGATGTTCCACCATGCGTATCCCTCCTCCCTCCTCCCTC